GTTTATTGATTTTGACAGTGGTTTCAGGGTGTATACATATCAGAACTTACCATATCGAGCACTTCATGTGCAGTTCATTGTGTGCCAGCCATACTACAATACAAATAAAAACTGTCTTTGCTTTCTGACCACCTCTGCTAATGTATCTGAGACCACTTCCTTGCTGAATCTTAAGACACAGCTAGGACTCTTGTTAAAAATACTGTCTTCCAGGCTTTGGAACTTTTAGGATAGGACTGGGAAGGGAATCTGTACTTTAAACAAACACCCCAGATGATTCCTCTCATCAATCAAGATCGGAAAGCACTTGGCCAGATTGAATTAATTGCACTTTGGTGATCTGAACCCATTTCCATGAGAAAGGGATGTTAGGTATTTAATATTAGCAGAAATTATGCTTTTACTGTGGATAGATGAAATAATTGAAAATTGGACAAAAATTTCTTCTCATCCTATATAGTATACTAAGGTCAGCCTTGCATTATAAGTTCTGAAGTAACAGAGTGGAAATCTCTTAATACTCCCAACATTAGTTAATATTACTTTATAGAATAAAAAAGAATTTTATTTACACAGTTTTTGACAAGACACACCAGAATATATTAGTGAAAAAATGCCTTATATAGTATATATTAAGAAGCTATAAAATAACACAAGTTGGGAGAAGAAGAATAAGATGATAGAGTTTGTTATTCTTTAAATGTTCTTTAGGTAGACAGTCTTACTCAACTCAAGGTGTTCCTGGTTTTTGCAAGGTAGTTTTATTTATTTGCAGCAAGTAAAGAAGATGGGATTCATATCCAAGACTATGCCTCTCTGCAGGGAGGCTCTGCCATTGCTTATATACACTATATGGTCAATTACGTGTTGATTTATCCTTTGTAATTGGCTATTCTTATCTGGTTGAGTTTCTGTCAGCTCATCCTGTTTATAGCTCCATCTGCAAAATACTCTGCTGCATTTTAATATTTAGGAAGAATAGCACTTAGTAAGAATGGCCCAGACCTTGAGACCCTTCTATTTAATAGTAGCAGCAGCCTTTTATAAAATTCTGGAAAAAACAACTTGACCTTCTTATCACTCCCTTTCCAATGACGTCAAACAAAAGGAAATCATAGAATAAGTCCGTCTAAATGGTTCAGTTATCAGAAGACTTGAGAGAGCAAGTTCTCCACAAATCATCCGTGTGAAATTGGTCTTGATTTTTTTTAAAGGGTTGGTGAGCCAATATGTAATTAATCACTTGTTGGCTTTTAAGGAAATGAAACTACAGTGTGCTCTGTGGTTTTATTTGGTGTGTATTAGCACTGCAGTTTTTAATAGGAGAACCTTAGGTGAATGCTCAGCGACAATAATGTGGACAGAACAATGTGAAGGAAGTCGTTTTTTAAAGTCAGCTTATGCTCATTGTACTGTTACATGGGGTACCTTTGTACACTTCAGCCCTCAGAAACCACCTGCATGCCTGCAAAAGTCCCTTCCAGTCCTAAGTTGTTGGAATGTCCCTCCCTCGTGAGTGGATGGAGTTATTCCCCTTACAAAGTGGCAGTGTCCGTTTGTTACCACTTCCCAGCGTTTCTTCCTCCACAGGCTGGTTTGGATGGATTACTCCTTTCCCACAGCTGCTGCCACAATCAGTGAGTACAAACAGACTCATCTCATTTCCTGAAGAAGGGATGCGAAACTCCTTCTAGCCAGTTGCACTTCTTGGGGCTCTGTTCTGTGTAGTGAACTACCTTCCCTAAGGAAACTGGACACTATTCAAAGAATTAAGCATTACATGTACTGTTCACTGTCAGTACTAAAAGTTCATGGAAAGTAAGGTATTCAGGTAGACAAATACCTGTATGTAAGCACACAGCATCCTTTAACTTTTATTAATTGGCATCACTTTTCCATTTTTAAGTGGAATAGAAGGTTCCCCTTAAACCAGTAAGTTTAAGGGAAATTCCAGTGGCTCTGTGCCTGTGGAGATTTAAAATCTACACATCCATCTCCATCTGTTCCCTTCAGCCCCCTCCTCCCCTCCACCAAAAGCTTTGTTCCTCCCTAATGGTCACTGTTAATGAAAAAGATACTAAGTTCCAAAAGGCTGAACTCTTTGGTTTTGGTATTTAGGGTAATGCTGGCTTCAGAATGGGTTGTGAAGTGTTCCCACCTTCCCAAACAGTCCCTGGAGGGTCCTGTTGTGGATTGAATTGTATGCCCCACCCCCACAAACTCCACAAAATAGTTTGAAGTCTTAACCCTCAGAATCTCAGAATGTGATCTTATTTGGAAATAGGGTCATTGCCGATAAAATGTTAAAATGAAGTCATATTCATCTAGGGTGCACTTTAATCCAGTATGACTAGTGTCCTTATAAGAGACATGGACATGACATTTGAGGGGAGAGTGTCATGTGGAAACAGAGGCAGAGACTGACATGTTGCAGCTGCAAAACAAGTAACGTCAAGGATCACCAGCAAGCCACTGGCAGCTAGAAATGGGCAAGGAAGGGCACTCCCACAAGCATCAGAGGGGGCATAGCCCTGCAGACCCCTCGATCTTGGACTTCTAGCCTGAAGAACTGTGAGAAAGTAAACTCTGTTGGTTAAGGCACCCAGTTTGTGGTAGTTTGTTGTGGCAGCCCTAGGAAACTAATACAGATTGGTATTATTTTTTTCCTTTCAAGTTTGATAGAATTCACCCAGTGAGACTGTTTGGATGCAGAGTTTTTTATGGAAAGATTATTAAATTATGAACTCAATTTCTTTAATAGATGTAGGGCTATGAAGATTTTCTGTTTGTTCTTGTGTTTGTTTTGGTAATTTGTGCATTTCAGGGAATTGGTTATTAAATTTATTAGCATAAAGCTGAGTTGTTCATAATATTTTTTTATGTCTATAGGTTTTGTAATGACATTTTCTCTTTCATTCCTGATCATTGGAAATTTGCGTCTTAATTTTTTTGATCAGTCTACCTTAATGGTTCTCAACTGGGAGCAATTTACCCCTCACCCCAAAACACCTCTCCCTTGCCCAGGGACATTTGACAATATCTGGAGACATTTTCAGTTATCACAACTTGGGGCGTCTAGTGGGTAGAGACCAGGGATGCTGCTGAACAGCCTGCAATGCACAAAGCCCCTCCCAGCAAAGGATTATCTACCTCGCAATATCACTGTGGCTGAGGTCGGGAAACGTGCTCCAGGGTTTCCAATATTAGACCTTCTACTTTCAAATAATGTTATGCCCCTTCATATTTGACATAAGCAGCTTACAATATAATATTTCCACATACCCCCTTTCATCCTTAGTGCTATTGTGGGCATACATTGTTCTTCTCCCTGTATTAGAAACCCAACAATACATTGTTGCTGTTTTTGCTTTAAATGATCTAGGACATTTTTACATGAGGAAAAAAATACCTAGTTGTTACTCATACATTTTCAGAACTCTTCATTCTTTGTGTAGGTCCAAATTTCCACCTGGTGCCTTTTCTTTCCATGTGAGGAATTGCTCTCATGTGTCTTGTAGTATAGGTCTGCTAGCAACGTTCTCTCAGCTTTGGTTTGTCTGAAAACTGTATTTTGCTTTCATTGAAGTATTTTTTGGTTTGGTATAGTATTCTCCAATAGCAGTTTTTAAAATATTCTATAAGATATCATTCCATTTTCTTTGTTTATATAGGTTATAAAAAATAAAACTATCGTTCATTAATATAAGACTTTTTTAAAAATCTGTGTATTTTAGGGAGTATTTCAGGATTATGTTGTTATTGAAAAATAGTAACAAAAGTTAATATACCCTGCTTAGATTTTATAAACAGACTTGTTTTTGCCTTGGGTTTTTTTCTATTTCTTTTTTTCTATTTTTTTCTCCTTACTCCCTCAAAAATTTGGCGGGGCAAGTTACTTCTCTGAACTGCAGTTTCCTCACCTGTCAAAATCAGGCAGTCAGTGATTCAGCTTTGTTGTGAAAGTGAAGTGAGAGAGAATGCAGAATGCCTAGACCTTGAAAGGACCATAAACATGTGGTGCACGGGCAGCCTCCTTTCTGACCTCAGGCTTCACACGTGGCAGCAGCCCTGTGTCGACACGTGGCCTGCCCTCCACACACTCTCCGGGAGCCGGGGGATCTGGGGAGGACCAGCATGAGCGCTGTTGCTCATGGTTTCTGTTCCTGCCAAGAGTTCACATGTTGTTTTTAAATAAATCCAATCTTTTACTCAAGCAAGGTTGGAAGATATTTTCTGAGGATACTTCAGCAGTTAACTTAAATTATTTGAATATGGTAAAATTCCATGATATCTTACATTTTACATAATTTATATACTTCACTTGTTCAGGATGCTCTTCGTTCCAATTAGGGTAAAATTATATTCATTTTCCATTTCTCTACTGTGCATATGAGCTACAGTATTTAAGTAACAAACTTTCATATTAGGAAAATCAATAATAGTGGGGACCCAAAGTCAACAGTAAAAACAGTAATAAACAACAGTAAAAACAGTTCTTTCCAATGGATCTAATTATCTTAGAATATACATTAACAGTATTCTCATTAAAAGATGCATTCACTAAAATGCTTTCTTCTCGTTCTGGCTAGGTGGCTCAGTTGGTTGGAGCTTCATCTCCATACACCAAAAGGTCGTGGGTTCAGTTCTTAGTCAGGACACATACCTAGGTTGCAGGTTCAATCCCCAGCTGCAGAGTGTATGGGAGGCAACCAATTGATGTTTCTCTCTCCCTCTTTTCCTCTCTCTCTAAAATCAATGAACATATCCTCAGGTGAGGATTAAATAATAATAATAATAATAATAATAATAATAATAATAGTAAAATCCTTTGTCTCTCCCAGCAAGATAAACTAACTGGGGATTGTTGACTTTTTGTAGATAATATTTTGTGTTCCTAAGATTGGTTGATCTGCTATTTTTGGTCCATACCTGGTCATGGGCAGCCACAGTCTGACATTTGTTTTAAATACGCCTTCCTGTGTTGCTGCTCTTTTCCTCAGTGGGCCTTCGGCGTGACGCTGTGGGAGCTCATGACGCTGGGCCAGACGCCCTATGTGGACATCGACCCCTTTGAGATGGCCGCATACCTGAAAGATGGTTACCGAATAGCCCAGCCTATCAACTGTCCTGATGAGCTGTAAGTTTTTCTGAGCTTGAAGACCTGGTTTGCATCCTTTTCCAATGTTGGGATAAAAAGAAAAGAGCAGGTGTCCAGAGACTTCCCTTTTGAAAATAATGATTTTTTTGGACTTGAATTAAACTCTCCTAGAGAACCACAAAGTCAGCCAGAGTCGTTCACTCTTTACTGCATTTGGCATGAGGACTTTTTGCATCTCAGATTTATAGTGCTTAATCCACAGGTGTCAAACACAAGGCCCAAGGGCCAAATCCGGCCCTCCACCTTTTTTTATCCAGCCTGGCACCTTGTTTCTACCCGGCGGCAGCACCAAGCTCTCTCTTAACTGTTAAGGAGTAGTCACATTTATACAGTCCTAAAATTACATCCAGCCTTTTGAAGGCAACTGCAAGGCTGATGTGGCCCCCGGTGAAAATGAGTTTGATACCCCTGGTAATCTAACCCAAGTGACTAATGTATAGTGAGAATGTTATAGATGAATGTTATGTGGATTATTCTGTGTACAGTGAGGGCTGACTTTTATTTATAGAGCCGTAAGAACATACTTAGTTATATAAAGCCTTTCTCGTGTCATCTTGCCGTGCCAGTTGGTGTCAGTTGATACACAAGGAAGATGTTTTGTGCTTGCACGTGAGATAGTTCCTGTTTCCTGCTTTCACGACACAGCCAGTCTTCCCACCTAATGGGATTGAGGTGGGCAGGACGCTGGTCAGGGCGACTGAGTGCACGGGTGAGTGTGGCCTCAGTTCTGGAATCCCCGAAGGTCCGTACACCGTAAAAAGGTGACAGCTTTTCTTCTGCACTGATTTTACTGTGGATCCAAGGTTCTTATAGCTTAGACAAAGCTTTTTCTTCCTCCAAGTTCCTTCTCCGAGAACTTAAATACAGGATAACAGAAGTATTTACATGAAATCTCTGTATTTGCTGATATATATATTTTTTTTCTCTCTTTTTTGTTGCTGTTTAAGTGCAGTTGTCACTGTTTTCCTCCTCACAACTCCCCCCTCAGCCGTCCCCACCTCCCACCTTTGATTGTACCCCCCTTTGGCTTTGTCCATTTCCCCCCTGTATTTGCTGATATATTTTGATGTGCTCTCATGAAGAATCAAAATCAACGTGTAAAATCCAGATAACTCATTTTAGCTTCTTTTCATTTTAGATCTGTCAACAGATAGTGATATTGATTGATTTTTAATATGTCATCCTCTTCCACACCCACATGTAGACAGAAAACATAACTGGTGTCAAATTGACTAAAAAGTTCGGAGTACTATATTGTTACTAGCCAAATGTCCTGTTCTTGTCACTCTGCAGATTTGCTGTGATGGCTTGCTGCTGGGCCTTAGATCCAGAGGAGAGGCCCAAGTTCCAGCAGCTGGTCCAGTGTCTCACCGAGTTCCACGCGGCCCTGGGGGCCTATGTTTGACTCTCCTCTCGCAGTCCCACAGCGTCCAGGAGGAAGGTGCCTGTCAGGGCTCACTGGGAGCCGGTCTTGGACGCTTCATCCGCCACACCACGCCACACCATGCCACGCCAGCAAAAGCACATTTGTCTTCCAGAACACCGTGCCTTAGGAATGCTTTAGAATCTGAACTTTTTAAGACAGACTTAATAATGTGGAATATTTTCTAGATATCACTTTTATTAGGTTGAACTGAAAAGATTTTTGTAAATTTTTTGGCCAAAAAATTTTAAAACATAGTAACTTTGGACTAGGGGTACATTCTTACAAAATAAATAAACAGTTTTTAAAATTGTTTAAACACTTGGAATAGCTATCTTAGTGCCGATTGCTTTTTATTTTTTGTCTTCATCAAAAGGTAATGTAGGTTATTCACCTTTAACATTTTTAAAATATTTATCACTAGTGTTGGGAATGGTTGGTCTTTGAGATGCCATCCTTTTTCTTAAGAAAAGAAAAACAGCATAAAAAATTGTCTGGTTTGCATTCTACAGGAAAAGGCAATATTGGAGAAAGAAAACCTAAAAGCTAGAATGGAAAAAAAGAAATTAAAAAATACTTATAGAAACAAATGACCCTTTTGTGGAATATTGTTTATTTTTTATTTTTTTAATGAAAAGGAGTTCTGCTTTTTCATTTTTGAGGAAGTAGGAGTTGCGTTCATTGAAACATCTTGAATTTGGCAGAAATTAGCTTTTCCATGAATCAGAAGTGGGCTTGGGTGCAGGTCAGTAGTAAAGAATGGTGATTTATTTATTTTTACTCTCTGGAAAAGGTGATGATACAACCTCAGAAAGTGCAGTCATGTTTCTAAGGTTAAGAATCCCTTTTAACGCACCTACATAGTGCTGTGCGCAGAGTCGGGGCTTGAGCTGCTATGGGTTAAAAAATGTGAACTGGCAAGTTTTGTGCTTATCTTCAAGGCTGGCTTAAGTATAAAATTGTCTTTTAAAACACTTGAAAAATTAAAGGATTTGTTTTATATTACGACAGCATTGAAAAGATCATTCCTGATCAGTGATTGGTTGTGTCTGGTGAGTCTTTGAATGTGCAGCAGATAGATACCATGTTTGGTTTCATGGGTGTTTCACTCAGGCCCACAGCCCTTAATGCAGTCACAGCCAACTCTGCTCAGTCTCCAGGTTCTAATAAACAGTTGGATTATGATTACAAAGAAGTATCACAGCACTGAAACTTTTTTCCAGAACCACTGAATTAGGGGTGTGTGTGTAGCGGTGCTTGGCTATATTGACAGTGGGCCTAATGCAAAGTTGAATGGGCCTCCTCGATAGCTAGGCCTGAGGGCGCCTCGCTCTGCTCTCATCCTCATAGATGTGCAAGGGAGAGTGCGTAGCAGCTGGAGGCGTTTGCTGTTAAAGAAGCTTTATGAATTAGCACATCTGGAGAAACAGCTCACACAATGCGTGCTCTGCCAGGAGCAGGCCAAGAGCGTGGTTTTTCTATGGGCTATTTATTAACACTGGTTCTTTGATTTTTATGAAGTACTCAGCTTCCCAATGGCTGGTTTTTAAAAAGCTCCTTGAGCTGTTTGTAAGTTACAGATGTTTTCATTCACAACCTGCATGCAACCTTAGAAGGCATTCAGTCAACCAGTATTGTTTAGCACTATGGATTCTACGCAACTCGAGCATCCCTTCCAGCATTCAGTGCATTCTTTTTTTTGTGTTCAGGTTAGAATATTGTTTAGAGGTCACAGTTATATGTACAAGGTCAGTTCAAAAGGAAAAAACACTGACATTCAACTTCTATCCCAAATTAGCAAGTAATAAGAGGTGCTCTCCATTGTCTGGCATGTGTGGTGCTCTGACCTCATCATTTTGTGTTTGTGAGCTGTTTTATGTATGTATATTTGCTTTATAGTTGGTGTTTTAAGAGTTTAAAGAGTTTAAGAGTTGAGAGTTTAAGAGTTTAAGAGTTATAGATTTTTCTTGCTGAGCTACTTGGAGCCATTGATGCAGGGAGAAAAGAGCAGTCATAAGATTTTCATGGCTGGTCTTTGTCGAGTTTTGTCGTTGTTTTGTGAATGTTACTGACCACACTTTGCAGAAAATGTTATTCCTATAGGAAGGAAGCAATTTGACAAAGCACTGATGTGATATTACAGGCTGGCTTAGTCACCCAGAGCTGTATTGTATTCTATCCTTTCCTCTAACACCCCTATTATTAGAATATTTTATCTGTAGAAGCAAGGAGGATTGGGCTGTTTATTCAGTATATATGTATTTGTGCCCACTGTGTATTTGGCTCTCAAGATATTCAGGGAACAAGGCAGATGAGGTTCTTCCCTTTCTGGGTCTTTATATTCTTGTTAGAAGAAGCAGATAATCAACATAAGATTTTGGTAAGTGCTCTGGAAAAAATATACAACAGTGTCGTAGAGAATAATTTTAGATGTACTATTTAGGCTTCTTGAAGCAGGTGGCATTTGAGCAGAGATCTGAATGACAAGAAGGCAGCTATGAGAAGGGTATTTGCAGAGGTCTCAAAGCAGGAACAAGCTGGCCTCCAGGCTAGGCCCTTCCTGTTTACCCTCCAGCTGCTGCTGCTGGCTGAAAAGAACAGAGGTCGGGGTGGCTACAGTGCAGTTAGGGAAGGGAGGGTTCCCTGTGAGGGCTGGGGAACACAGGGACAGACAGCAGGGCCTTGTAAGCCATGGGACACATTTATATTTTTTTCTACATACAATGGAATTTCATTCAAGGATTTTTTTTTCTGTAAGGGATTGGTTGATATGGTCTGATTTGTCATTTAAAAAAAAATGATGCCAAAGTGAAGATTGCATTGTCAGGAAACAAAGATGAAAGTAATGAGACTTCTAAGAAATTGTTGCATAGTTTAGGAAAGGAAAGTTAGTGGTTTGGGAGATTGGAAGGGACAGATTGGAGATCAGTTTTGAATATAACAGGCAGAACCTGGATCCATGGGATGTTGGGGGTGCTGTGGAGAAGGAAAGAAAGGGATCAGGGCTGACTATTTTGTTTGGGGCTTGAGCGTCTGGTTGTATGGCCAGACGACATAGTGAGATGGCAAAAAACTCAGGGAGGAACAGGATTTTATTATGGCAGAAGGATCAGTACTGTTTCAGTTGCCAATTGGTCAGCTAAATGGCGATTTTGAGTAGATAAGAGTCTGTAGCTCAGGGAAGTGGTCTCATTGAACATGTCAATGTAGTATAACCTATAGACCATATGGAAAGCCATGAACTTGCTTCAGGAGATGGAGTAGACAGAGAGGAGGTCCTAGGACAGAGCCCTGAGCATGCCAGCATTTAATGGTCTAGTGTAGAAGAAGAGATACCAAAAAAGACTGAGAAGAAGCCACTGTAGTTGGAAAAAGCAACGACCAAAATAGGACAGTGAGGTATCATGGAAGCCCGGGGAAGAAAACGTTCTGAAGTGGAAAAAGAAGCCCGTGTGGGACTTGGCCTCATGGCAGGTATTGACAAAACTAGTAGGCGTCAGAGCAAGTGGGGGTCAGAGCACAGGGTGGGAAGGTGGGGATCCTGCCGTAGTCAACATTGTTGAGAGTTTCACTGTGAAGGGACATGGAGCGGTAGCTAGAGAAGATCAAAGAAGTGGGCGGGGGGGGGGTTGGTGGGGAGTGGGAAAAGGGAGGAGGGCATGGTTTTCAAGAAGAAGAAACGGGTCCCAGAAAATCTTTCACGGGCTAATGAGAATGATACCTATAATAGAGAGAGAAATACCCCTTTGCAGTGTAGGACGTACTTCTTTCTTTCCCTTCGGTTCACAAGCACGAAGTCCTTTCCACTTGATGCCCCCTTTGGTCATTGCAAACATTATGTGTTTAGTGGGGAAATAACGTGAGGGTGAGGTACACGAAACTTTGAACATTCCCACTGTATGCAAATCTGTTGCATTGACTAACCTGGAAACTTAGACCCATCACAGTCCTCTTGCTGGCTGCCATCTTTTGCCCCATTGCCTTCAGAGCTGCTTAATTGGCCTTGGCCCTTAACCCACCCATCCAGCCTCTGTTGGAGTAACGGTTCCCAAAACAGAGCTGCTGTGCCTGCTTGGACCTCCACAGCAGTCTCCCAAAGCCTTTAGGGTGCAGGGAGAACTCCTAGGAGAAGTTTCCACTCATCTCTGCGGTTGCACCTCCTACTTCTCCCCCAGCTCACTCCTTCCGCCTGAGCGCGTTGTGCTGTTTCACGGGTTCTTTCCTTTGCACGTGCTGCTTCTCTTAGAAGGCCATGCTTCACTTTAGGTGGCCCGGGCGCCCAGGACACTCCTCTGACACCTGTGACACTTTAGCCTGCTCCTGCAGGAGCTTTTCAGCCTTGTTCCCTGGGTTTGCACTCTGATAAAGGTAAGACAGGGTGTAAATATATTTTGAGAATAAGAACTTGTGTTTCACTGAGGTCTGAATCAACATTGCTTAATTACCACTGGACATGTGGTAGGGTTGAATATTTGATGAATTGATGAGTAAAAATATCTAAATTTACTTAAGAGAGCAATAGAGAGACTTTAAGTAGCCTGCTAATTCCTTTAAAGCATGATCTCATATTTAAAGTATTGTGTTCTATCACCAGTGTGATATCTGTGTTCAGATTTGAAGAGTTTTCAGTTTTATGTGCAGTAAACCAATAAGGCGTGAAATAAAAGAGGCAGATTGGGAGGGAAGACCATAATCCCACCCCACTGCTGGCTTAAATACCCCCTCCCCCAATACCCTTTTTACCTCATTTTCCTGCTTTTCCTTTGGTCACAGGAATAGTCAGCCTGCTCACAAGCTGTGCTTCATGCTTCTCTACAAGGTCACTTTCATTTGGAGTTATACACAATGTAAATCATTGACTTTGGAAGATTATTTTCCAGGTGTTACTCTCTCATGCCCCTCACTCTTTAAACAGTTGCTTATTAATATTTTTTGTTTCTACATTCATTTTTGCCTGTAGTATTTCACGCTATGTTTGAACACAGTTTTCTGAGACACGTGCACATGTAGCATAAGTGTGCTGAGCACAGTCACGCGCTGCTTAACCGAGGGGGTTACCTTCTGAGAAAAGTGTCATTAGGGGACTTCATTGTTGTGCAAGCACCATAGAGTGTACTTGCACAGACGTAGTTGGTACAGCCTACTGCTGTAATCCTGTGTACTGTGCTTTTGTGTGCCTGACAGCTCAGCAGGTCCGTTTACCCCGGCATCACCACAAACATGCGAGTAATGCGTTGTGCTTTGTATACCACCTTAAGGCAGCCACAGTAGCACTAGGTGATAGGAAATTTTCAGCACCATTGTAATCTTATGGAACCATGTTGTATATATGGTCTGGTGTTGACAGAACTGTCGTTATACCACAGATGACTGTACATACATTTTACATATAAGTAAACTGAATCTGTGGGCTTCTATTTTCCTTTGAGAGTGACATTCTTTAAGTAATGCAGGCTAACCAGGCCTAGAGGGCCTAATGGAAGATACTGGGTTGGGCAGAAAGTTCATTTTTCTGGAGTTTTTCTCCATATGATGGCTCTAGTAGTGCTTAGTTGTCTTCAACTTCATTTGAAACAATTTTATTAGATTGTAT